GGGTGCTTATATAGCAGAAGGGAGTTAATAGACATAGCATTCCCTTTCCCTGATGTATTCTAAAATGACAATGTGAGCTGCTTGCACAGATTGTTTCAGCTACTTAACATTGCTTTAGAATTAAGGTGGGGGGAGAGAAGGAAAATAAGCGGGCAAATAACTGCTTTTCTAAAAATAAGTTGATAAAGCCAAAAGAGTGGATTACTTGTTGGAGACAGAATGAAGAGAAAGTAAATAATTGTTTCAGAAGTTGTCATAACTTGCCATTGAATACCATTGGGGTTTTTTTCATAAAATGTCGGTTTCTAAAGTAACATGACTTTTTACCCCACTTCCCGCCAATCAAAGACAAACAAAAACCTCAACCTAAAATACCCCCAGTATTACGTGGCACTTGTATACAAATGAAGTATTCTCATTTGGGCACACAGTTGCTAAGTCAGATGTGTGGCATTAGATTATGGCAACCTGGAGCTGTTCAAAGTGGGCCGTATCTAAACATTACTTTTGATGATCAAGCCGTATCTTTTCACTGTATTGTCTGCAGGACATAAAGATGAAACTTTGCGTGATTTTGGAAGTGTTGGGTATGAGAAGACACAACTGTCATATATGCATCCTTTATACTTAACGTGGTTTCTTCCACCTTCCGCATACGCACATTTTTACTTCTCCCTTAACGGGTCGGGCGCATACACTTGGTGAATGAATGTCTGTTAGCATGCTGTTTTTCATTGCATTAGCTATGAAATCCACTGAAAGAAAATAGGAAGGAAATGATTTTTTTAATGCAAATATTCCACTGCTGTACGTACGATCTTTGAAGGGAGGGAGAAGGGGGAAGGAACTTGTTCTGACAAGTCAAGACTTGTTTTTATTTTATGGTCTGTGTGATGGAAACCCACAGTTATCTGCTGCTAGAAAGTGAACTGCAAGCAACGTGGTAGTAGTAACTTTAAATTGCCAAAAGGTGTAGTACGATACTGTTGCATTTATTCCACTTAATACCATTATATGTTTTCCCTGAACAGTTCTCTGTTTGTGTATAGATGTTTCCCAAGGATTTGTCCTGCGTATATATAAATTTCTAGTTTGGGAAGAGGAAGTTGAGTTATTTTCACAGGTTTGTAAGAAAGCCTCTTGGTTTAAATATGCTCAATAAAGCGGTTCTCTCTTTTATAAGAGGAACTTTTAAGTTTTAAAAAAAGAAAAAAGAAAAAAAAAAAAAGAATGGGGGGTCAGGAGTTGAACTGAAACAGCTGTAGCAGTAGAGTCCTTGTAAGGAAGCATCCAGTGTAAGACCTTGTGTGCGCACACGTGTGTGTGTGGTTTTAATTAGTGGAAATACTTGAGGCTTCCTGCTAACCCAAGTTTACATTCCCAGTATTTGTTTCTGAACTGTGAGATGCAGAGAGATAAGCTATGCTTTCATCTGAAGAAATGTTAACTGGTGTAGCTGCCCTCATGTCCATTTCTCAGGTAAAATTAGAAATAGAGCACAAATACATTTGGTAGGCTACGGACAATCTCTCAGCTGAAGGGCAGATGGATTAACTATTTATACAAAATATGCGTATCAGCATCTCTAAGCTAATCATTTGCGTCACGTGGTGTGTTCACGGTGAAGAATGCAAGGCTGAGTTGAGAGTCCAAGGTATGGTCTCTTCTATTAGCAAAAAGATGCAGACATACCTCCATTTGTATTTCATAACTCAATTCTTGAGAAAATTCTAGGTTTTATTTTTGTTAATGACAGGTGATTTTGCTAGGGGCGCTTCTGCCAAATATAAAATCGGTGCCTCTTGCATGTACTGGGATCAGCCTGACGTATCCCATTAAGAATAACTTACAATGCCGTCCTGCTTGTATAATTTAGAGTAGAACCCCGCAGAGGTGTAAATAGAGATAGCATATTCAAGTTCTAAGTAACGCTTGTGTTTTGAATTCAGAAACAGTCATTGAATATATGATGCAAGCTTTTTATTTGATTTTTCTTTAATATATAGTAAAAGCAAAAATGTCTTATAAAGTATTCTTAAGTTTTGTAGACAAAGCGTAAATGTTACTGTATATGTGCTGATTGTGGCAAAGTTTTACATTCTCATTCTAGTCTGGTTTTTACAATAAAATTAATTTTACAAAAAACACTTTTCTATTTTTATGTACTGACATATGCAATAAATTGATACATTAAAAGTGCTGTTAATGTCTTGTTCTAGTTTGTGGCCTGTCTTCAGTATGCGTACAGGGGTATTTTTGTGTGCACGGTAACTGATCAACCTCAAGGTACTGTTTTCAGCTACTTCCTAAAACCAGAGCACATGGAGTAGACATCCACCTTGTTAGACACGGCGTTTGTGGAAAGCTATTACAGCAGGGAAAAACTGTATTACAAATACCTGTTTCTAAGCTTTGTCGTGTATCCTCACTTTCAGGAAGAGCTAATAAGTAAAACTAATATGCGGTAGCTCTCCATCACTTTCTGACACGCTCTGCATTTCAAAACTCCTCTGTTATCTGGGGGACTGAGAGGTGGTCTAAATATTATGTCATGTGGGAAATATTTTTAATTGTTTCTGACTAGTTTTACCACCTGTTGCTGGTAATATTTTAAATGTCAATTTTAAATGCTCTAATACCGCTTTAGCAGGTTTATAGCTAATTCATGTAGCTGCAGCGGGATACTCGGGCTGAAGCAATTTCTACTTTCTTACAGAGAAATGCATAACTGAGCTTACATCACCTCTGCTCCTATCCTGCATGGTTAATGTCAAATACCCAGAAAATAAGGATTTACTGCTGTCTTTTCTAAAGCTGCAAAATGTGCATCCTCTCCTGGATTACTGCAAGGCTTATAGTTCAAATTTAACCTGATACCTAGGAAACAGGGGAAAGGGGGTGGGTGGTACATTTTGACACTTTATACAAGATATCTGTTACTTTTGAACAGAAAAAAAAAATATTTCTAATTCTTGAAAAGGAAGCCATGAAAGTCAGATTTGGGTAC